ATTAACATATTTAATTTAAGATGATTTGTTGAGAAATCAAACTTTAACTCTAAAATGTATTTCATATATACTAAAGAAAGAATTATTATGCAAACATTATTTAAACAGCTTATTCAATTAAAAATATTAATAGATAAATAATAAATCATTAAATCATAAATAAGAATACAATAAAAAAAATAGTGATAATTATCAGAAATAAAATTTTTTAAATAAGATATTCAAATTTTAATCTTCAAATGTAATTAATCAGTTAAAAACTTTAGTAGTCACATTTAGAACTAGAAATCGAAAAAATGCTTTAAATAGATTGCTTTCTTCCCTGTAGGCTTGTTGTGGGTTTGGCTAGTCTTAAAATGGGGAATGTGATATTTGGGTAGACCAATGTATCTGTTAAAAATCACCCATAAAAACTTTTGTGGTTGCTCACTCAGATTTTATCCCAAGTCCTTCAAAGTGATAAGCTGATTCCTTAACTTCATTATCTGGTTGATGATGAATTGCATATATGCTCAATTATTTGAGAGTTATTTATATAAACTATTTGTATTATATAAAGTTTAGCGTTGAGAAAAATCCCTGCACAGATTTAAACTTTAGCAGCTTAAGATGTCTTTGAAAGTTTGCAACATTTATACATCATCTAAAAGTTTGATTAATGAAGTTTTTATGCATTAATATTATATGAAAAGGTTCAAGAAAACTGATTTAGTTTAAGACAAATCTAGAACCAAAGCTGCCTTACCATTTTGGACCTGTGATCAAACATTATTGAACATATTCTTTTTATAATTATATCAAAACAGTTGTCTATGTATTAAGGCTTCATTCAGAAGTGCTCTTCTTGTGTTATCTCTGGCCACTCAAAGAAGGCTTTCTTGTAACATCTTAAATAACAATTACTTTGATAAGCCAGATGTAAGAAGACCATGTCCAAATGCAATCCATTAGCCACTGAACAGTAGCAAATGAATGTTTTTCACAGAGTTCAAGTAAATTTTAATTATATACCTTAAGTTATTAAAATTTAAAACTTAAGGATTTTTGGGATATTGATAGTGTAGAATGCCCTGTAGAATGAGGTCTGCGGGACTAGACAAAAAAAACAGACAAGTCGGCTTGACAGATATATTGGGCTTTTAATTCTTTCTTGTTGACAAATCACAATATACATAGAACACAAACTATCACACAATTGACAATTTCCAATGCACAACTAATAACAATATAATACTTCACACGTTTTCACATTCCCCTCTCTTTCCTCCTCTTCTTTCAGGGAGCTCACAGCACCTGACAAAAGTCAAAAGATGCATAACACAAATAAAAATAAACCTACTCATGACAGTTTTTCTACCACATATAAACAATGAAAAAGAAAACTAATACGTTCAGATGAATCTCCCACCAATCTTCTTTTCCTTCGATATGTTGTATCTCGATGTTAAAGTGTCCTTGGTTGGATGGAAACGGATTGCTGTCTCATTGGCCTTATCCCCAATCCTTGGTCTTCTCATGCTCACTGCCTCCATCTCATATCGTTCACAAGTGGCCAGAACAAAGCAAGAGGGGGAAGAAAGTGCTTACCATATGTGGATCACGACATTATATGCTAAGCCACACAGATATCCTCCCCACATGATCTCCGCTGGCCAATCAGGCTGCCAACATAAGGTGAACTGAAAAAAGGTAATATCACAAATGAAAACAAAGGGGTCGAGGGAAAAACTGAAACACAAAAATACATAGTCACAAAGCATTACAATAATCTGCATTAGCCTAAGCTCATATTAAAATCATTTCAATGACATGTAATGTTGAATGGAAACAAAGTTAAATTACATTTCACAAATCTGTCAGTAAACAACTGAACAAATGCAATTTTTCATTAAAGCCAGACAACCTGCCAAATAATTGGGTAATCATCTAAATCTAATCATAGCCTGATAATTCGGCACATTGTCTTTGCTCTGTCATTCAAGCTGCTGTGATGTGGAGTAGTAAGAACAAGTCTGTATTAGTTTGTGATGAATGGATAAAATTAATTTAACAGCATACAAAACATTTCAAGTTACTTCATTAGGGCTGTTCATAAATTACATTCACATTTTTTTTTAAAGTTTTACTATCCCTCCCTCTTTGCCTAAGTTTCTGTAACCCCCTCTCTTCTTCGGATATCCAACAAAACCCAACATTCCTTAAAATTTTTTATCACTTTATGAATTATAGATTCCATAAGTAGAGTGATGGAATTATGTCTAAATTGCTCTTATAAGACTGCAGTCTTTCTAGTAAGTTACATCAGTGTCTTCCATAATACCTCAGTCACGAAATAAAAATGTTATCTCCAGAAGTGTAAGAAATAGAGCAGGACATTTTGCAGAGATTATGCCTTTCATATGACCCTCTTCCTTGACTGTGCTTAAATTTTTAATAAAATTTAGTTTACAAAGTCTAGTTTATATTTAACTGGGTTCCTGTCGAGGAGGACAATGATTCCAAGGGGCAGATCAAAAAAGGCCATTGGTCAATGGAATCAGAGACTCGTAGATAAAGAGTAAAGTTTTGGATAGAAGGATCAATCTGTCTTGATCAGTCCACTTCTGCGAAGGGTGTTTTTTAAATAAGGTCTGTTTTTTTATAAGAAAAAAATACTGTAAATATCTTGGAATTTCATTGGATGATATTATTTTTTTAGTTAATTGAAGACACAGACTGTCCAAAAAAATTTTTTGTAGACACCATTTATTCACTTCACATGTTCCAGAACAAACTTTTTGACAATCTGACCTTCTTTTTTAGGCTACTTGGCCATCAAGTTTACAAACATTCCTTTAAAAAACACAGAAAAATATCTAATTAAAATTGTAAAATTTCAACTTAGAGTTCATGGGTCTTCTAAAGAAGGTCAGGTCATCAAAAAGTTTGTTCTGGAACACGTGAAGTGAATAAATGGTGTCCACAAAAATTTTTTTGGACAGTCTGTGTCTTCAATTAACTAAAAAAAAAAAACTGTAAATATCGTTAAAATATATTTTTTCCCATATTCTACATACTTTTATCTACTTTTCTACATAATTTCCATTTTTGTTCAAACATTTGTCATACCGCTCAAAAACTTTTTGACTTCAAAGAAATCTGCTGCCGGAAGACATTAGGCCATGCAGCTTGTCTCATATGGCATGGCGGAGTTTTCTCAAGGTCACACAATAAGCATCAGAATTGATTGTTGTGCCTCTTGGCATAAAATCCACTAACAAAGTCCCTTTCCTGTTCCAAAAGACAGTTACCATGATCTTTCGTCCTGAAATTGAATAACAGATTGTATCTTACAGTCAGCGGACGACTCAATTTTCTTAAACATTATAAACTTCTATAGCTCAGCACACAGACAGATGATACGGCTGCAAATGGCATCTAAACACGCGCAAAGCATGCTGAAAGCATATGCTCATGCACACTGCTGCAATCGTGCGTCATTCTCACTCTCATTCACAAACGAACCTTATTTAAAAAATAGCCCTTGTATTAGTCCAACTCAAATTTGTCTCAACTAGCTACTTTTCATTGTTCGCTCACTGTCTGCCATCGCTAATCCCTTTCTTGGATGCACCAGCCATCCCTCTGAAAGTCCCTAGGCGCAATTGTCATCTACACCTGTCTTCACCATCTATCAGTCTTTGTCGTGTCATCCTTCAGATCGATTCTCAAGATCATTGCAACTTATTTTCAAAACTATTGCTGGGTGGTGTCAATCCTGAAGTAATCTTCCCACAATAATTAAACACGACCTCTCAGCGAGTTAGTTTGTATGCATAGGCTTCACCTCTTAGTACTTATGTATATTAGAAGTGTGGTAATACTTGCATGTAATGTACTAAACTGATATAAAGAGGTAATCAGAAACCTTAAAACTTCAAATAGCCCAAATTTCTTAGGATTAAGGTCAGCCTATAGAGATTTCTCCATCATACAGTGTACCAACTTTTTACTGATTAGTAGATCAACAATACAATATTTTATTGATTTGCTAATATGTTTAAAAATGAAAACTCTGTCATACCCTCGTTACCAGTCGAAAAGAGGTATTTTGATAAAATCTTGTTTTAAAAAAGAAACATACAAGAAATTTTGAAGTAAATATAATAAACTGCATAAAACTTAAAGAAATGTATGTCCACTGAAGCCCAACCCCTACCCCACCCTCCCTCTTGTTTAACTTTGTCAACAAATTGTCATATCCTCGTTTCCAGTGCAGGCATTATTTATGGACATCCTCTTATATGTTGATTGTTATATACAGTCTTTAAATACTCTAAAAACCACTCATATAAAGTGCACCATCTGCTTGAGATTTGCAAAACAAACTGAGCAGAAAATTAGAACAGTGCAGTTAAAAATGTAATTTAAGTTATCAGACAAATCCAAAACCTGGAAAGATGTAGAATACTTCATATTCTATTAGGTGTCAAAGTTTAACCCCTGATGTCTCATAGAATATAACGGTATGCAATTGGTTGATTTTTGTATCATCTGTCTTTAACTCTTTCTGTCCTGTGGGCACTAAGAGAGTCTTTTTAGCATGTCTGTGGGTTCGACCAGACCCACAGTGGGGTGGCTGGGTGATGAGGGATGGGACCCAACATATCCAGATGAGTCAAACCCCAAAAATTTCCTGGAATTTTTTGATCCATCCAGATTCAATCCCAAGTTTGTATCATGTCTTTTAATATTTTGAATTATTTTCTACAACACATTCGTAATAATTGACATTTGTCTTGTAATCTGTATATTTCACCAACTGTCGTACATTAGTCATAAAAAAATTTTCAGGGGAAAAACTTGAAATAGCAAGAACACATTAATTTTAAATTCAAAGTTGTAAAATTTTAGAATGTAATCATTGTTTGTTTTTGTTTCTTTGTTATTAAACATTAATAAGCATTTTACTCTATAAAATTACTTTTCTTATCATTTTAAAAACAATGTTCTTATTTTAGTATGTGATATGGCTTGTGATACGTGCACAGGAGAAGGACCAGACAAATGCGAGAAATGTTCACAGGATTATGAAATGACGGACGGAACTTGCGTCGGTAAGTCTTCAAATTATGAAAATATAAAAGTATATAAATTTACAGTTTATTCTTTGCCATCCATTTCAGAAAAAGCTAAAGATGATGCTGCGATTACAGACAGTTTGGAAGAAGAAACCACAGAAGAGAGTGATGGCCACAATGAATTATGACCATACTTAACTTAGGATAATTTCTTTTGTCGGGCATTCTTACATTTATATGAAACATCTTGATTTTCCAAAGATGCATTTATTTTCCAAGCCTCTTTAATTTGTTATCGTGCAAGATGGACTATTTATTTTTATAAAATCTATTCTGTTTTGTATTTTTCTGCGAGTAACTACATTTAACATTCTGTAACTTATCTTTCTGACAAACAGGAACAAACTGTTAACGATTACAAGGTTTGTTTTTGTTTTGTTTTTAATTAATTATTGATAAATTTCTACCATATTTAAATGTTTATATTAGACGTTTCACATTTTAAATATGACAAATTGTTATTAGATAATCTACAATTGTTTTATTTTCCTTTCTATTCCACTAAAATTTTCAGTAAAGGAATTTAATAAATGCAAACAGATTTTTATTCTATGAATAAAATATTATTTTTAAATGGTTAATGCAGTTTTTTATTGTTATTTTTAACCAATAAACATAGATGTTAGCAAGAATATTACAAGAACACTTGAAACAATAAATTAGAAATATAGTTACAGTTAAAACTTGCTTTCTACTCATCAAATACAACCAAGAGGCAGTCAGAAAGTAAATGGACTAAGTTCTGCAATTCATACTTTAATGCTTTTGTAACAGAACAATTCTTACATCTGTTCTTCATCTAATAACAACTATTGTGGAGAAGAAGTAATAGTTTTTGCTGGCACTGATGCCATAATATACGATTGAATGAATGTTTTGGTGAGCATGGTCCATGAGAGATTTTCCAGAGGTGGACACAACTTTTCAGCTAAAAAGTCCCCAAATCTGACAAAAGGATTGAATGTCTTTGGCGGGGACTTTTCATTTGTGATAAACCTCTTTTTATTTTGCCCAAAAGCACTCACTTGTGGGACATTTGGAGAGTTATCCTTCTTGGATATGTATTCAATGCCTTTGCTGTCTAAGAAAGCAGTTTCAATTTTCATGTAATGTGACATAAATCTGGCCAGAAGATGATCTCATCCCTGGAATTGTGCTTATCAACAAAGGGAAGCAGTCATTTTTTCAGACATTCCTCTAGGTAAACCTGAGCAGTCATGGTACCTTCACAAACAAAAGCATTTGAAATGTTCCCAGAAGCATCCATAGTCTGCCAACTGAGGTATGTCTTATAAAATTTTTCCTTATGCTAGACTTTTCCACATATTCTCACATGGCAATAGCCTGAAGATTTGTAGCATGGTAATATTGCTTTTCTTGGATGTTTCCGTAGTCAAATGGGCAATCAGTCTCATCGTCAATAATGAGATGCATCCTCAGACTTTTGTCATAAACTTTCCTTTATCCTCCTTTTGCTCTTTTTGCTTGGTCCTTTATATAGTTCGGTGCATTTTGCTTTTTATGTCTCTTGATTCCCAACTTCTTGACTTTGATATCATGTAAAGTTGCCTTTGGCAATATCAATCTGACAATTCATTTCTGATGGAAGCTGATGGAACTCATTGATACAATTTTCTGACTTGTTTACGTCTTTTGTATTGGATTGAGAGATGGTATGACCAGGAAAGGATTCTAATTGTCTTATCCTGTTTCCTTATATCTTTGTAAAATGTCACAAAGTGCTTTTTCTCATATCTTGTTCCATGAAATAAGCAACTTTTCTGCTTACTACATCCTCATGTTTTGTCGGGTGGCTCAAAAGCACTCAAAATGTATCAGTTTTTAGTATTTTAGTCAAGTTCCAACAAAGTACTTGAAGGATAATTTCTTCCCTTGGCAATGCAGTATTAGATTTATGCTTGAGATGAAGGTTGGAAAGGTTTAAATTGAAAACATAATGTTCTATTTAGGTTTACAAGGTTTATTTCCTAATAATTATCTTGATAGTGGGCCAAAATGTGTGCAGAAATAAAAGTAAACACCAGAAATATCTTTATTAAAACAGGAAATAGTAAATAATTGATGTTTTTATAGTGAAAAGCAAGGCTGATTTTCGAAATATAACTTATTAAACAATCACAAACAAAATCTTTTTAACCAGTAATTGAACTTTAACATAGTTTCTGAATGTTTTCAGCTTTCACCGAGGCCTGCTTCAGGTGTTTAACTAAACTGACTTCCAAAAATCGGAACGTTAGAATGACGATGATCAATTTTAAACTTTCAATGTATCAAATTCATGTGGTTGATTGACTTTGTTCAAATTACTGGTTAAAAACGATTTGTTTGTGATTGTTTATTTAATCACTCCAGTAAATTTATAATATAACTTTTTAATTTATGATGTAATTTAACATTTATTACGAAACCTAGTTGCAGGTCGCACATTTAAATGCGCCGATTATGGAAGATTTATATGTTTTCAGATATATTATTGAATTTAAATGCATTCCAGACATTTCATAGACCAAAATACCTGCTTAGAATTAAATTGCCACTTACATTTTACTTAATTTTTATTATATAATATCATTTATTTCTTTTACTTTTAATAAATTCCATTAATTTTGAAGTATATGTTATATAATTCTATAGATTTTATATAATCTAGCAAGCCTGGTGTAGAATTTCCTTCTCTTTTTGTATTTTATTTGATAGAGAAAAATATAATTGCTATACTTAGAAAATTTCAAAAACTTCCTCCCACGTTAGACTGGACTTTCAGGTTATACGTGAAAGAATTCTGTTATTAATAACAAGGTATATATATGATTAAATCCAGAATTTTGTTCAGTTTTCAGAAGTAATTTTGATTTTTTCCTCTTCTACAGTTTAGTTTTATCTCCTAAATTTTTTAATTTCTAAATATATATTTTATTTTTAATGATTTTTCCTTTATTAACTAATTTAATTTTCGAATTTTATAGGTTAAAGGTGAGAAAATCTATTAGAAAAACTTCTATTTTTATCATCTTTCTACAGCAATGTAAGAGGAAATTAAATTGTTTCAACATGTAAACATGTTATTTAGAAATTATAAGATTATTTCCTTATAAAATTTCAATTGTACAGCTGTAAAGATTTGCAAAATCTTGCAATTATCCCGTAAAAAAATGGCTTATTTTGGTTGCTGATTAGGGTTTAAGCACCATATTTTTTTAACCATGATTTTATACCTCTACTTGCCTTCTATTTTGACAGAAATTAAGCCAAAAATTCTGTATTTTCCTTTGAAATTGACTACTAAATATAAATTTTAAGCACATTAAAAGTGATAAACAGTAAACACAGGAAGACCTGTATCCAGGTCTTCCTGTGTTTACTGTTTATCACTTTTAATGTGTCACTATCACAGTCCCTCCTGTATTCAGGTAATATCCTTTTGTTCATGCACTATTAAATTTTGCTGAATAATTCTTGTGTATTCATATATTATATACTGCACCCCTTTTATCGTACGTCAGGTTGTCTGTTCGAAGAACAACGATTCGAGGAAATGACACTAGATAAAAAGCCAACTTCGTCATCAGAAATCTCACCACTACGGAGCAGTATGAAGAGATTGCTGATCCTACTGACGTTTGTGGTACTTTCTACAGCCAAACCGGCTCAGAAAATCCGCACTTGGTGTTTCGTTTTCGAGGGAACGTCCGTATGCCCCCTCTGCCCCCAGAGAACAGGTAAAATTAGAATTAAGTTACCGGAAATGACGTTAGAAACTACATTATCTTTCATGATTTTCTTATTCTTTACACTTAATTACGTTACGTAAATACACACATTTAATAGCCATCTACTGTACTAAATTAAATGTTATTGGGTTTATGAAGTGTTTGGGGGTATCCAAGATCATTCTAATTTTCAATTTTTACTTAAAGGTCAAGGGTATTATCGAGTTTTTCCTGTTTAACACTGCAGAAATGACGTTTATTACGTCGTTTAACACAATAATCGACACTCCAAATTCTCTTCTTTATCTTTAATGACTGAAATAATTGAAAATTTAAACATTATCTTACAAATTCTTTCAAGTTTTTGTAATAAATTATTACTTTTGATCACGTTTTATTAATTTTAAACCCTCTTAATGGGATTATTATGCAAAACTCCACTTTTCTATTATTTTTAACTTTTTTAACAGTCAGGAATTGCCTTAATTACGTTGCAGTTTAATTATAATTAACGAGAATGGGCTTAATTCTTGATATTTCTTGTGTAAATTTAATAATAAATTGTAGAAATGGTACCTTGTCTGGTATCAGGTCCGTAATTATGATTACGAGAGGCCTTTCTAAGTGTATTATTGTTTAAGGCCTTGAACTATACTCTGGTACTGTGAAGTCTTAGGCTATTGTTACTTAAATTTGGCAATTTTAACAATTAAATTACCATTAAAACAGCATATTTAACATCCTTTTTCGTTATTATCTTCATTAAAGAGTTGAATTCATAATTAATACTTGATTAGAAACCTTCACGAAACCTTTAAACAATTAATTTTTACGTAAACAGGACGAAAATAGGAAATGAAATCTTTCGACATTCCCTTTTCCTCCATTCGCGACAGGGGTCAAAGGTTACGCCACCGTAATTAAAGCGGTATCGTTTCACGTCACGTCGAGTGATAAATTCTGACGTACGTCTCTCCACTTAGCGTGACGTAACAGCCGGTTAACACATCCCACGTCATACAGTTTTACTTAAAATAAGAGTCAACACGTTGTCGAAGGTCAATAAAGAAAAATGATAAAGTCAAGGTAACATTCCTTTAGTGTTTAGCGTGTCTAACGTTCTATCAATTTTCTATTTTCGTCCCGTTCGAAAGCGGTGTTGAAGAGTAAATAATTATCTCACCCTTTCTAAAACACACATTCACCCCATTCAAATTTCTCTGTCAAGGTTTACTCTGCCCACCTGCCAACGAAGATGACGACACTACAACAACACAGGCCGCCGCCACCACCACCACCGAAAAGGTGGTTCCTAACGAAACAGAAGTGGTCACTCTAACACACGACGACGTCGTCACAACTGAAACTAGTCTAGAAGTCACGACTCTCACTCCTCCCGCTCCTACCCCTCCTGCTCCTACTACCGCTGATCCTATCGACGAGGACTTTTGCTACGACAATGGGGGGTGCGACTGCCCCTTTATATGTTGTAAACAAAAGAAAGGTAAACCTAAGAAGTGTGCTACGGGCTTTCGACTTCCTCCTGGATTAAATTACTGAAAATGCTGTAAAAATGCCCATTTATGGTATTGTTTTAAACAAGAAATAAAGTTTTTGGTACGTTGAGAAGCAATTTTTTTTTCGATTTTTAGTGTTAGTCTATTGTTATTTTACATATTTTCATTGCTATCAAAGTTTTTATATGAGTATACTCTGTATGGAACACCAGAAAATACCCATTTATCCACACTGTATTGTTAAAACAGCTGTGTGGCGAATTATCTGTAACGAAAACACTGTAAATTCAAAAACTAACAGATTAGGATATTAAAAAAAGCACTAACTCAATTGTTTGCGTGTGACGTGAGATACAGAGTTTGTATTGTTATATACACGCAGCCTGTTGTTAAGTAAAATGAAAGTTAAACACTATGGTGATGTGTAGAACGTAGACGAAGCGTGACACGTGACTTATACATCATAATTTGCGTGAAGTGTCGAGGAAATCGATCGATACTCTAACGTGTAGTTACGTATCTAGATCTATTGAACAATGTAAACACCACATTAAACACTTCAAGTGTAGTTAAATGAGAGATAACTGTTAAGTTAACTTAATTTACGTGTTCGATACAGAGAAAATCAATATAACGCTTGCATTTTCTTGTATTTAATAACAATTTTAATTGTATTATTATTATTATACGTAACATATTCTGTTTCTGTTACTTTGCATAAGTCAGTTTCCTTCCTAAATCACTTTTTTTTTCATGTTACAGGATGTTACGCCTAGAACAATTACCTGATGTTTGCCTGGTGACGGTGATTATTAAGTAATACCCCCGTCTGGTCGATTTAAATTTAGGTTTTCATCGGTGTTTTCCTCTGTTACATAATTTTAAGTTTAAAAACGTGAGTTTGCATTAGTTACGCTGTTAAATTTTACTATATAATCGAGTGGTTAGCGCGTTTTTAAACCGGTTATTCTCTGTAACGGGTGTAACTGGGTGTGACTTATTACTTCATTATAGGTTAACCACTACATTCACCTTGACGTGTTGTGCGGGTTTGGATTTTATAAAAACGAAGCTTTCCCGAGCTTATACGAAATAAACAAGTTACAGTTTAGGGCCTCTGGCTTTTGGTGGAGGGAAAGGGCCTTTTTGATGTAATATATTAGGGCCACAACACGTTTAAATTGAATCATATTACTAATTACGAGGCCGTAGCATCAAATTTCTGTTATAATTTCTTCTGTTACGTTAGTTTTTGTGTATATTTTTGTGTCTGTCCTTACTCTCGAGAACGGAGTTAGATAGATGAAAGGCGTGACCAGGTATTGGAAGATTAGGACAGGAGGCCCTGATTAACTATACGAATTTCCGATGTAAACCGGAATTCACGTTATTTCAATTCAAAAATTTTCCCTTGAAAGGAGTTAGTTAGAAGACCAGCATGACTCTATTTCTAACAGGAAATTTTATATCTAAAAAATATAATGTACGGGGGAAAGACACTAATAATTTGAGATGGAGAGCATATATTTTAAATTAAATATATTTAAAAGTTGCAGCCCGGCATTGTGACGATGTCACAATAAATAATTACTCGTTTTATATGAAAATTAATCTTGGAGCTTGATATCGGGTGTGCTTTTGTAGTTTGCATACGTGGCATCCTTACTGTTATAGTCTATCAAGCGACCTTAATGGTATTTCTGCTGGAAGATTAACAATGTACCATGAATCTGTACCATGCAACCGTCTAATAGACACTTCAGGGGCCATATTCTGGTCACTGTCTCTCGTCTCTCACAAGCCGGTCGCTGATTGGCTAATCATTTGGATTAGCCAATTAGCGACCCCAGGTCATGATTAAACTCGACATTCTTTTGTTGGTCGAGAACCAATGGAACTGTGAAGTGATGTCACGTGTTCTGCATTCTATGCGAGTGATCGATCATCTCGTACAAATGTATAGGGTAGCCATAATTAAAACTTCTTTATACACAATACTCTATAGATGTAACCAATAAGCAAACTGAAACCAAAATTTGTACATAGACTGTGCAAAGGATACGGAAAAGGGTTTTGCAAAAGCATATTTACTTCAGAAACCTCTTTTAGAGGTCACTTTTTGCGGGAAAATACACGGTGGGGCGAACTTCCCCCGTGTATTTTCCTGTTGAGCAATATTTCCTATATCAGTAAGGAATGTGTTTTGAACAGAGAAACTAAGTATCGCCACCCTGCATATTAAATACCTCGAATTCTGTAAATTTTAAGAAACGTTTTAGTGTATTAGAATTTAATTGTACGTTACGAAAGAAATTGCTACAAAATTGTAATCATTACAGTGCCATAAAGTCCCATACATGCAATTGTATCTTGGGCTATCACTTGTTACAGATATTTTGCAAGCAGGAACCGAAATGGATTGGAATGGAACCCACTACTTGGCAAACACAATAAATGTTTGCCAAGTAGATAGATTCTGCAAAGTGTGTGCAAAATTTCCCCAAATTACGGAATTTTATAGAAAAATTCCCCATAATGATACGATTGTCACACTTTTATTTATGTATAGTTATATATTATATATTAGAAATATTCAATGTTTCTATGGGGCCACTTCAAAGCCGTAGCTTGCTCCTCTAAAGAATTGACAATGACATTGCCGAATGATAGAATTCTTCTGTAATTGAATGACACGTGTTTAATACTCCTCTGTATTCCATACCATGATGGAGAATGGTTTAATCTTCCTTATTTTCTACTAGCACCCATACAGGCAATCTTGGCTCATGTATCTCGTGGTACCCATTCGAACATCTTGCGCAAGTAAGGACGTCGTCACCGCCACGAGTTCCCCTAATGATGGAGCTCAAGTTTAAAAGAGAATAAATTAAATCATAGAAAATAAGTGACAAGTCATCCTTTACAATAGGTTCTAGATTCTCTTGTTGTCTATCATCACCCCAAATAGCTCACAGAAGTTACGTAACGTACAATAACGTTACCCGTGATTGCAGTCATTTAAACAATAAACATAAAATTAATAAACAATAGCCCAATCTTTTGCAGTATTAACAGCATACCCTAGACCCATTCATAATGAAACAAATTGCACATTTAATTTCGGCAATAAAACAATATAAACCTTTTATTAATCCTAAAATACAGCATAAAAAACAAATTTTAACAAGTCCCCTTAAAAAAAATATTTTCTGAAATTATTGGAAAATATGTGAAAAATTTTCAGCATGATCTTCAAAATTCGTCTTCTTTAAACTAATTGAATATGATCTTAAACATGAATATTTATCCATAAAATAATGGTAATTTCCAATCTTTTCAACCATAGCGAATTGATTTTAAAGGCGTTAGACCGTTACCATAATAAAATTATCTTTGAATATTTCCAAATTGAAACGATATTGAATTAACTTTTTTAAGTGTGTTTCCATAGTTTGCATTGTTTCTTCGGTTCCTCGTTAATTCTGTGGATGTTTCCGAGATCAAACTTCATGACATTACGATTCTCTTTAGTGAATGGCAACCATTCTTCTTCCTGATCCGGGCAGGAAGGTTTTCTAAAATTACAAAAAAAATCATTATTTAGCAAATTATTATACAATAATAAACTATTTTTCAAAATCCAGTGAAAGATTCTTCTCTTAATCATGTCTTTTCGTCTCTTGAAGCATCCTCATCAACAGGTTGCTTCAGGATCTCCATGAGGGTGCTCAAGATCCCATTATCTCTTGGTGAGGATGCTTCAAGATTCTCATTATCTGTTAATAAGGATCTTGAGCAGAAATATTCAACTCGCAACCATAATGGGCAATGCTCCCAATTTGATATTGTACATCATCAATATTGAAAGTCAGCTATGACAATATTCCTAACCAAACTAATTATAATGGAAAATAACTTAAAATAGTGATGTATAATTGCCATAACAGCGAGATAAAGACTAAATTAAAACGAATTTTAAAAATACGAACAAAACTTACCCAGTTTTAGCGAAAGAAACCCAATATTGCATGACCTGTTTACTGAATTCTTCTTCTTCTGGGATGTATTTTTCCGGATACACGAAAGGCAAACCGAACATGAAATATATCTCTGCAAAGTGAGCAACTCCTTCCCATTTCTTATACCCTGTATTGATTCGGGCATGGTTGAAAGTATAACGGTAGACAGTATAATTTTTTACGGATAATTTTTCTGTTAGAGATATAACAGGGCACTTAACAATTCCATCTCCAATGACATCTCTAGTGCGTTCGAGAATGCGTGTATAATCATCCTCTTGCACATTCCCAAAATATTCTTCCATAACGTTATCAAACTTTGGTTTACTAAAGTTGTAAATAGTGTTTAGGATATTCCTTGCTTTAGACATAGTGAAACCGGGATTATCTTGATTCAAAATTTCAGGTTTGTAGTAAGCCAAAATCATCGAAGCTTCTTCGGGTACTATGCCCGCCATTATTTCTACATCGTGTATTAATCCATTATCAAAATATTCAATGGGATCATCGGGCAAGAATGGTTCTCCCAATTGGGTAAAATAGCTGACAAGTCTGTTCCTATTTTTCAATAATTGTTTCTCGCCTGCTGCAATTTTAAAAGCATCCGTTTGCATTAAACAATCAATTATATCTTTATTATCTTCTGTTCCATTATTACAACCGACGTTGGCTGCAACCCTTTTACTAGTTTTAATGTTTTTATTCTTCTTCTTCTCCAAATGATGATGACAACAGCCTCCACTTTGCAAAATGGCTCTTTTGAATAATCCTTTAGTTAGAGGTGAAACCAAATGAAGTGAAATGGCTGCTGCTCCAGAGCTGGTACCAAATACGGTGATTCCTTCTTTATCACCTCCAAAACTTTCTATGTTTGTGTGAACCCATTTCAGAGCCATTACTTGATCTAAAAATGCCATATTTCCTGGTGCTGCCTCGTTATCTAGATTCAAAAATCCAAAAGTTCCTAAGCGATAATTTATAGTAACGACGATGACATTACCATAAGAAGCCAAAATTCTTCCGTAATGAACATCCATATTGCCAGATCCCGTGTTGAATGCTCCTCCGTGTATCCATACCATAGTGGAAAACGGTTTATTCTCTTTATTTTCGACTGGCACCCATATGTTAAGATATAAGCAATCTTCACTCATGTATCGACGTTCTCGTGGCACCCACTCTAACACTGGAAACACAGGATCTTGCATACAGATAGGCGACATCACGGTGGCATTGTAAATGTCTTCCCATTTCGTGACAGGTTGAGGTGCTTTAAATCTAAGCTTTCCTAACGGGGGTGTTGCGTATGGAATACCTAGAAATGCATAAACGTCATTGTTTAACGCATTTATCTTTTTTCCTCTGATTCTTCCTAATTCAGTTTGGACAATCTTCTCTGCGAAATAACTTTTGAAAATGCACACTAGAAGAAGGCATTTAAATAAATTTCTCATCCTTGCTCCTGAAAACATGAAATTACATATTGTAAATGAAGTTATACTGAAGGGAAAGCAAAGTTGCAAGTACCTACCTTTAATTACAAATAGCAACACTCGACTGAATTAAAGGCAGTAGGAGCATAAAACTCTTCGTCTACAAACGTGACTGGTTTCAAGGTCATCGTGACATCTTGATATATGATAAACAACAGAAAAATCTATTAATCAACGAGGGGACAGGTAGAGATGGTCACGGGGTGAGAATTCTGAGAATGGATGTCATTAGTCGATGTCATTGACTTTGTCTTCGATGACCTCTAGAGGTGAAAAACAATACACGGAGTCGACAAGATGCGACAGAACTTCAGGTCTTGTCGACAGTTGCCGTGGGTATTATTTTTCAGACACTAGGTATGAAAAAAGTACTGTTTTCAATATAGCCATTTAAAAAAAACAACTGTGTGATTTTGTATTTTTTGTTTGGATAAACTCAAAACATCAACTGTTATTTCTATCGTATTTGTGATTTTGGTGTAATTAATAGAAATTCTGCACTACTGTATCCATTCATTTCGATAAATCAACTTCGGTGACGTACTAAAGTGTGTAGGCATTTCTCATGTAATGGCTGTTTATTGTTATGTAATCAGTTATTTCGTGTCTCTGTCGTTCTGCTTGTGTTTTTTTATTGTTATTGATTCTTTTCTTGCACCCAAAAAAAATTAATATCGATGAAAATATTATTATATTCAATTCTTTTTTTATAGATATAAACAGGCTAGTCAAATAGTCAGTTAACTGACTTTTGGGCTACCGTGTGTATTTAGAATTCTCACTTGTATTCAAATAACAATAATAAATTTCCTTCACTTTAGAGGACTCTTTTGAATAATCCTTTACTTCCAGATGAAACAAAATAAAGTTAAATGGCCGATTGATGTTCCAGCACTGGAATTAAATACAGTAATTCCTCCTTATTAATGACCGGCCTGAACACTGGTAGTTGGTCGTGAGTTCTCGCCTCACTAACGGGTTGGCCACATGGAGTTTTCAGAGAGTTTCTAACACCTTTAGGTGTTAGAAACTCTGAAAGTCTTGGCATTCCCCTTGGCAGATCGCCCATGTCTGCATTGCCTTATCTCATTAAACCAAATCAGACCCAAACCTTCTTTAATGCCTCCAAAGCATTTCATATTTGTATGAACCCATTTAAGAGATTTTACTTGATCCAAAAATTCCATATGCGCTACATCTGCATTGCTATCTAGACTCAAGAATCCAAAACACCTCCTTAATCAACAACCATATTGCTAGATCCCATGTTGGATGCTCATCCATGTATCCTCCATGGGTTATTTCCTTATTTTCTACTGGTACCCATATGTTAAGATAGAGGTAATCTTTTAATCTTCATTCATGTATCTACGTTTGCGTGGCACCCACTCGAGCATGGAAACACAAGATCTTGCATGCAGTTAGGTGACATTTTGAGCATATCATATCATGATAGAATTAGGTGTGATCTATCCTTATGATTTATCAGTAAATAAATAAAATGGCACCTATTTTAACGAACGAATTGGGAGTATCAAGAGAAAAAATTCTCAAGTATATGAAGGTCAATCAAGACTGTTGATAGGTGTTAATATCTGACGACAGAGGGGGGGAGGAAAAATCAATTAACGAAAGGACGAAGTGAGGTTAATAACGGGATGGCAACTAAATTTCCCAGAAGGCTTGTCCTTGAATTGTGTTGGTGACTTTCTCAATGACCTTAGTATCGTTCTTGTCTTCTTGAGTGTTACCCGTCCTGTCAATGAAAGGACATTACAGAACCATGTGTTGTGAATTGCAGCAGTGTCTTAGTTAATAAGTGGTTAGTTGTTAATGTAAATTTTATAGAGGTTGTACTGTTTAAACGAAGTTTTTTTGTACCAAGATAGTCGTTAATGATTGATAATTACTACTTGCATCAGCAAAAGATGGCAACAGAGTTGAAATGATTACAATAATACATGTCATTTTTTTTAAATTGAAGTATTGGTATGAAGTTTTATGGACTAAATAAATCCTAGTTTTAATATATTATTATAAATAAATAATCTGTTCTTGGAATAAAGAAATATCCGGTTTTCTTTGTATTTTAATGTTTTCATATCACGTGGATTCGATCACTGGGCGCCGCCATATTGGATGCCAGGAAAGCAAGAAAATATTGAACAGATTTTAGTTGTGAAAATGCTCTTGACAACTGTAGTCTACAGGAAAATACAGTTTTAGAAGTGTGTATTATCAATAATTTAAATTATAGAAATAAAATTTCTTATTAGACCCACTAGGTCCTGGTCTAAGGGCTCGAGAGTTTGGTGGCATAAAATAATTTCATGTCGAAACAATTCGTAAAGGAATAATGCAAATTAAGACCTTAAGGAGGGCAAAAGTAAGACGTATCAGTTGAGTAGTTCATATATGAATACATTTTGCTTGAACAGACTGGCAGTAAGTTACTAATGGTGTTTCAATATAGTGCCCTTTTCTATTTCGATTTAATAATTTGTAAAAAATACAATTATTGTAGAATTAAAATTATAAAATATAATTATTCAGTGCAGAAGTGGCACTATTAGTTTGGGGGAACCTGCATATTGTGGGCCTAAGGGAGCCATATTTCTAAATGCGCTATTGTGTACATCCACTGACATAAAGTGTATGTGACATGAAAGTTCGACATAGAAAGCTGGATATACAATACAATACAATGCAATCACGAAGCAAATTGTTATGAAATGGGACGTCATCAGTTAAAACATTCATAAAATTTATCGGTTAAAATATTCATAAAAGCATAAATGTTTACGCTCTTTTCATAGCAGAATTCACATTCTTTCGTAAACTCTTCCTTGCCTAAGTATGTAATATATGCTCCTAACTTACACTTTCGTGTAAGTTAGGAACATGTATTACACTTTCCTGTAAGTTAGGAGCATATATTCAGGCTTATGTCTCCACTATATGATCTTGTGTATCTTCTAATTTTTAGCTTTGATCGACATTGTTGAGGAAGATTGTTTCACAAGAATGATCGAAATGACATTAGTTCGACATAGCTGGATATATGAAAGTTTCTGATAAACCAAAAAAGTATATCTATAACCTACCTTGACCCTGTTATGGTTGATAGTGATGGATAGTATGATTCCTCTTAGAACCCTTATGCAATTCCTCCATTGGAGAAATCAGATTTAAGGCACCTCAGTCCATTGCATGATCCCATTTTTCCTACATTCCAATGAGTCCATTAGTGAAGATTATCTTTATCTTAGCATATGGAGAGCAATAGTGAAGAAGACCGTTTTCCACATTAATATGAATCCACGGAAAGGTTTCAACACGGAATCTTCCAACATGGATGTTCATTATGGAAGAATTTTACCTTCTTTCGTGGAATCTAATATGGAGGCGCTGTCTCAGGAGAAGATACGCGACCGTAATATAATCCCTCAGCATCGATAGGTCGCGAGTAGATACATCTTACCAACGAACTGCTCGCTTGGAGTTTCCGTGTTTCCTTCACGTGTCTAACGTAAATGGGGGTTGTTTCCGATAGAAAGTCCTTCCGGAACATACCTCTTGGCGGATCGTCCACGTGTTTCGTTGGACGATCCGCCACGATCCTCTCGACGGTCCTCATGGCAACGGATCGTAGAAGCTAATTATTTTTCTCCTGGCCCGGAAAAACTTGAAACTCGTAGTGGTTCCTACTCATATAAAGTAATGCTATTTTTACTAATAGAAAAAATTGTTTAAGTCTGCTTTTTATTAATAAACATTTTACGTGCTTCTTTCTTCAAAAAACAGGGCAAAATGGCACGCTAGAGCTATAGGAACACGGTAAGAAGTTAGAGAGGTCTGCTCTACCCCATGGCCCTTATAAGTTCTCAGTGATCATGGTTGCCGTATCCCATTATAGCCGACCACATCAAACCAAAATGAAAGCAACCATAATCCTTTTTTATCCATATTGTTTTATTAATTGGTTTATTGGAATTTTTTCATTTTTGACCTTTTACGCACTGTGTGCATCAAAGAATGCTGTTTTTTATATACCCATCGTAGGTTCAGCCAGGCTACAATAAGGGGGCGATTAGATGGTGATAAACAGATGCAACATATCCGGACATATCACCCAAGAAAATTCCTGGGGTTGCTCGCCAGGTTTCGATTCCAAGCTATCTCAGGACGATTGAATTACGCCTTAGTCGTCATGGCCATCCGACCGCCATTTTTCAATTGTCTGGGATAACGCTCTACGAATAGTGAAAATTCATATAATGCCATCTATCGGAATGAAAAGATATTATTAAAAATTAATTATCGTGTATCTTAATTTGATGCTAAGGAAACAAATCCTCATCGAAGCTAGAAGTACAGTATACGTCAGAGGAAGAAACAGCTAAACTCGTCTACTTCAAAGAATCATTATAATTTATGGTTATTAATATGGTCGTTCTTGGTAGTTCTTACTGGACAAAACTGAACACTGCTGCAGTTGTTACTTCAAAAAAAACAATTCTATATCCAAAATAATATAAATATAATCACGCAAAATAATAATATCTTATGTTTTTATCCATAAGATTAATGAATTCACTTTATAAGGAACGGTTTGAGTCACGCAATTCAGAAATAACCAACATTGTAATAAGTGATGATGATTGTTTTCAATTCCCAAGTCAGCTGTTTTTGTTGTATAAAATTCTCTTCATACCTCGCGATCGTAATTCAAGTACCCTTATTCCACGCTGTCTAAACACATATTAGCAGTGCTAAAAGCAGTCAAATCTGGCGTGGTGACGTTCGGAGACACGCAGACATTTTCGTAAAAAAACATTAGTACCACTACTCACCACTACGGCACTTTTGGCACTGTAAGTGGGACACTTATAAAGACGGTTTTTAGAGGATACGTTTCAAATTTGTTGCTTCGAAAGACAGTATCACACTACATTAGAAAAGCATCACATATGATCAATTACAGTCAGCTGGTAAACACTTTTCATCACGTTCAGTATGAGAATTACACTGAGCAGTATCTCTTGCATCATCAAGGTGTTTGTATGGTATCAATATGTCATACAAAGTTTGTTGCTTGAGGACGTTAAAATTGCCATAGTGGTAAGTTTTCGTACT